AAGAGGGAGCAGCGTCTGCAGTCAGAGCTGTATCGGACCGTTGTGGTAAAGAGGGAGCTGAGCCGAAAGACAAAGCTCTCAATTTACCGGTCAATCTTCGTTCCCTCCCTCACCTATGGTCATGAGCTTTGGGTAATGACCGAAAGAACGAGATCGTGGATACAAGCGGTCGGAATGAGCTTCCTCCGCAGAGTGGCTGCTCCCTTAGAGATAGGGTGAGGAGCTCAGTCACACGGGAGGAGCTCGGAGTAGAGCCGCTGCTCCCTTAGAGATAGGGTGAGGAGCTCAGTCACACGGGAGGAGCTCGGAGTAGAGCCGCTGCTTCTCCACGTCGAGAGGAACCAGTTGAGGTGGCTCGGGCATCTGTTCCGGATGCTTCCTGGACGCCTCCCTGGGGAGGTGTTCCGGGCACGCCCCACCGGGAGGAGGCCCCGCGGAAGACCCAGGACACGCTGGAGGGACTATGTCTCTCAGCTGGCCTGGGAACGCCTTGGGGTCCCCCCGGACGAGCTGGAGGAGGTGTGTGTGGATAGGGAAGTCTGGGCGTCTCTGCTTAGACTGCTGCCCCCGCGACCCGGCAACGGATAAAGCGGAAGAAAATGGATGGATGGATGGATGGATGTTCTCTGTGGTTTGGTTTTAGTTTGACTTTGACGTCCTGTTTCCTGTGTCTTGATTGTCTGCCCCGCCCTGATGTGTTTCACCTGTGTCTCTGTCTATAATTACCCTGTGCTTCTCTCCTCTTGTTGCTGGTCCATTGTATTGTCAACTTCTGTTCCTGATTTTGTGTTCCTGGTTCTGTATTTTGGACATTGAGTTTTGTTTTCACCTCATTTATGTTATTAAATCATTATTTTTTGCATTCCTTCATTTTGGGTCCTTTATCCTTTCACCTCGTGACAAAGTCTGAACGACCCAGAACTGGTCAAGTTCAGAAAAATCACCAAATTCCAGCTTGAAAAAAATATATGGCCTATTTCTTTAATCTTTGTGACGGATTAATTTGACCCAAAGATTTTTGTTTCACTGAATGAATGTGTTTTGTAAATGACCTCAAAAACTTAAAAACACAGTTGTTCTGAAAAGTACAAATCCAGTGCATGCTAAAACTCTGCTGTTTACAGACTTTAACAGGGAGAGTTTTGGATATTTTCCTTCAACATATCTAATCTTTTCTCTTATATTCTCTCCTCACTTTAAATGTCCCTTCAAACTTAACGGCGGCAGCAGTAATGAGACACGGACACAGACAGAGCCAGAGCAGACCTGAGCCGAGCCTTGTTCTGTGGCTAATGAGAGGCTGCACTAAATGTTAATGTTGCCTTAATGTATGGAGGTGCAGACAGGAGGAAGAGGAGGAGGAGGAGGAGGAAGATGAGAAGGACTCGCCATCGTCCGGGCTGCAGCGTGGGAGAGTTCGCTTCGTGTCTTCACAAACAAATGCATTAGAGAGAGAGCAGAGGTGCATAAAGAACGGCCCAAAGTGATCAAAAAGACGGAAATATATAAGATTTTAGTGTCACTACAAGACGAGGATTATGTGTGAATTAAGAACGGCAACTAAAAACCCAGAGCAAAGGCCACATTTACTAAATCCACTCCAATTCTTTATGTTTATACAGCCAATTTCATTACCGCAGCTTCCAAAGTGCTATTTTTATAAATGAGCGTAAAAACAGGTTCTTAAAACAATGCAGCGGGTTAAGAAGAGCCCTTTTTGATGATTTGCTTTCACCTCCAGACTTGGCCTTTCGGTCTGGAGTTTTTATGTTCTCCCGCTGTCTGCCTAAAGGTTTCCTCCTGGTGCTCCGGTTCCCCCTACCACTAAAAACATGTACAGTAGTTCAGGGTGAATGAGTGTTTGTGCAAATTAACACCATCTAAGTCCATAGTAAAACAGTAAAAACATTAAAAATCAAAATAGAAAATGTGTGCATGTATGTAAGCATGTAAAAATAACAGTAAAGCACATTATATTAAAATAAAAGGACCATAAAACTCACGCGGCGTTAAAAGCCAAAGCATAAAAATGGTTTTTAGACGAGACTGAAAAAACGTAGTTAAACATGCAGCGCTTTCTGTACCTTTAACACACCAAGGTCACGAGAAGCGTTTAAGAATTCTGGTTTTCACACACACTAACGACACTTTCCCTTCACACACGGTGATGTCAGACCAAGACGCACAACACCTCCCAGAACCAAGACGCACAACACCTCCCAGAACCAAGACGCACAACACCTGGTCCATCAGAGACTAACTCAAAACATTCATACCAAATATTCATTATTTTAGTATTAAGACAGGCGTGTCCAAAGTCAGGTCCAGGGGCCAAATGCGGCCGATTTGTGTCATTCTATGTGGTCCTCTGCAGTGGACTTTTTGTTGGTTTCGTTACTGGGTTTATTGTCCTTGTGGCATTTATTAAGTAAATATTTAGCTGTTCTGCTTTTGGGTCCTTCCTTGTTTTAACAGCGTCATCCAGCCAACTTCAGCTCATGCTATACTTTGTTGTAAAGCTCAGAACCTTCGGGATTGCTGTGACGCTAATGTAGCTGTAGTGTGATATACAAAGCCCAGATCAGCCTAAACTTAGTAAAAACAGTTTTACAATCCATGTTGTCGGCCCCTGGACATGTCTGAGGAACTAATATGGCCCTCTTACTAAAAGGTTTGAACACCTCTGTAGTAAGGGATATCGGAGGACCCAGAGGAAACCTACAATGTGTCCTGGCCTGGAATCAAAGCTAGGGCTAAGAACAAGCACACAAAAGCACACATCTCTATGGTCCACGTCCACATTATGACAGTTCTGGTTTCTCTTCCATTGCCTTTGCTTTGGTTCATAGTCTGTTTGTCTGCTGCTGCTGCTATATGTTTCCTTTTGTCCTTTATCTCTGCATTAGAGGAGGATTTAAACGGCTGTGTTGTTATTTCGGTCGCACAATGCATCACACGCTGCCATGTAACCAAACCCTTTCCCCCTGGCTTTTAAGCGGCCCCTCCCCGGCTTCAGTCTGCTGCTGTTGTACTTTCTCTCATATGCATACAGTCATTTATAAAGAATTAGCCGGAATAACAAGTGTGCCCGTGGCTGGCCAGACACAGCCTCTCAAAGGGCTCCAGTGAGTGGTGTTTACTTAAGGCCAGGGACATTAGCCGCGGCTAAATCTACCTCAGTCTGCCCCGGCTGTGTGAGCGTGAGGGACTGGGACTCTGCAGCCGCCATTGGGCAAGTGCGGACCCAAGATTTATAATTATCAATGAGGGGAATAAAAATCTTTCATGTTTTAGTTTGCTCCAAAAAAGCGTCTCTGTATTGTGGCTAAGTTTCTAAATATGTGTTCAGCAAGACACAGGACCGTTTTAAGACACAGGACCATTATGAGACATAGGACCATTATGAGACACAGGACCATTATGAGACATGGGACCATTATGAGACACAGGACCATTATGAGACACAGGACCATTATGAGACACAGGACCATTATGAGACATGGGACCATTATGAGACACAGGACCATTATGAGACATAGGACCATTATGAGACACAGGACCATTATGAGACATAGGACCATTATGAGACACAGGACCATTATGAGACATGGGACCATTATGAGACATGGGACCATTATGAGACACAGGACCATTATGAGACATAGGACCATTATGAGACACAGAGGACCATTATGAGACACAGGACCATTATGAGACACAGGACCATTATGAGACATGGGACCATTATGAGACACAGGACCATTATGAGACATGGGACCATTATGAGACACAGGACCATTATGAGACATAGGACCATTATGAGACACAGGACCATTATGAGACACAGGACCATTATGAGACATGGGACCATTATGAGACACAGGACCATTATGAGACACAGGACCATTATGAGACACAGGACCATTATGAGACATGGGACCATTATGAGACACAGGACCATTATGAGACACAGGACCATTATGAGACACAGGACCATTATGAGACATGGGACCATTATGAGACATAGGACCATTATGAGACACGGGACCATTATGAGACACAGGACCATTATGAGACACAGGACCATTATGAGACACAAGACCATTATGAGACATGGGACCATTATGAGACACAGGACCATTATGAGACATGGGACCATTATGAGACACAGGACCATTATGAGACATAGGACCATTATGAGACATGGGACCATTATGAGACACAGGACCATTATGAGACATAGGACCATTATGAGACACAGGACCATTATGAGACACAGGACCATTATGAGACATAGGACCATTATGAGACATAGGACCATTATGAGACATGGGACCATTATGAGACACAGGACCATTATGAGACATAGGACCATTATGAGACATATGACCTGCGAATGGAACTGCGCCTGTTGCCAGAGGTCTGTGCTCTACGAGGACTGTTCCGAATGAAATATATAGTTTTTTACATTGATTCATGTTGTTGTAAAAACATTTTAATTTAATGTTAATAGAAATATCTGTGTTTTCAAATAATAACATTTAAATATTGCTTTTTGGACACTGAGAAAAAACGTGTTTATTTACATTATTCATTCACTCCTGTGGTAAACTACGACTGCTGCCATAGCTGCCCTGGGGCTGACTGATCAAACAAGACTTTGGACGATGACACACCAGACTCATTCTAATGTGGGAGAAGTGTCTTGCCTAAGGACACAACCACAGTTTAGCACTTTACAGCCGCCCCACTGTGGCACCTGCTGTTCCCAGAGGTCTCCCATCACAGCACTAACCAGGCCCTGCTCTTCTCTTTTGGTTCGGGCACATAGCAGTAGCAAATATAATCGTAAAAGAGAGAAATCCAATCATCTGCTGCTATATTGCATTTGTTACATTTTACTCTGACAAGACACGGAACATAAATAAAAGACTTCTGTGCAACACTGTCTAAAAGGATTGAATTAAATCCATCCTATATTTGGAAATATAACTTTGTTTTCACTTTGAGGTCGGTTGTGGAACTTTACGGCCTCTTCCATGCAGTGTATTAACTGTATGATGAGCCATAACTTCTGGGTTTGGATCGTGACCTCCACAGGGACCTCCACAGGGACCTCCACAGTGACCTCCACATGGACCTCCACAGGGACCTCCACAGGGACCTCCACAGTGACCTCCACATGGACCTCCACAGGGACCTCCAGTGACCTCCACAGTGACCTCCACAGTGACCTCCACAGTGACCTCCACAGGGACCTCCACATGGACCTCCACAGTGACCTCCACAGGGACCTCCACAGGGACCTCCACAGGGACCGCCACAGGGACCTCCACAGTGACCTCCACAGGGACCTTCACAGGGACCTCCACAGGGACCTCCACAGTGACCTCCACAGTGACCTCCACAGTGACCTCCACAGTGACCTCCACAGGGACCTCCACATGGACCTCCACAGTGACCTCCACAGGGACCTCCACAGGGACCTCCACAGGGACCGCCACAGGGACCTCCACAGTGACCTCCACAGGGACCTTCACAGGGACCTCCACAGGGACCTCCACAGTGACCTCCACAGTGACCTCCACAGTGACCTCCACAGGGACCTCCACAGTGACCTCCACAGTGACCTCCACAGGGACCTCCACAGTGACTTCCACAGGGACCTCCACAGGGACCTCCACATGGACCTCCACAGGGACCTCCACAGTGACCTCCACAGTGACCTCCACAGGGACCTCCACATGGACCTCCACATGGACCTCCACAGTGACCTCCACAGTGACCTCCACAGGGACCTCCACAGGGACCTCCACAGTGACCTCCACAGTGACCTCCACAGGGACCTCCACAGTGACCTCCACAGGGACCTCCACATGGACCTCCACAGGGACCTCCACAGGGACCTCCACAGGGACTTCCACATGGACTTCCACATGGACCTCCACAGTGACCTCCACAGTGACCTCCACAGGGACCTCCAGTGACCTCCACAGTGACCTCCACAGTGACCTCCACAGTGACCTCCACAGTGACCTCCACAGTGACCTCCATAGTGACCTCCACAGTGACCTCCACAGTGACCTCCACAGAGAGAAGGAAAAGTGAGGTATGTTCTGATCCCACATCACCATCATCTGTCTGGGGCCGTGGGCAGCTGATCACAGGGACCACAGACCATCTCAGAGCTCGAGGTAGCACAGGGACCACAGACCAACTTAGACCAGGGACCATCTCTGATCTGGAGGTGCCACAGGGACCAAGGACAATCTCAGATCTGGAGGTAGCACAGGGACCAAGGACCATCTTAAATCTGGAGGTAACACAAGGACCAAGGACCATCTGAAATCTGGAGGTGGCACAGGGACCACGGACCATCTCGGATCCTCAGGCGGTACAGGGACCAACTCAGACCTGGAGGTAGCACAGGGACCAAGGACCATCATAAATCTGGAGGAAGCACAGGGACCAAGGACCATCATAAATCTGGAGGAAGCACAGGGACCAAGGACCATCATAAATCTGGAGGAAGCACAGGGACCAAGGACCATCATACATCTAGAGGAAGCACAGGGACCAAGGACCATCATACATCTAGAGGAAGCACAGGGACCAAGGACCATCATACATCTAGAGGAAGCACAGGGACCAAGGACCATCATACATCTAGAGGAAGCACATGGACCAAGGACCATCTTAGACCAGGGACCATCTCTGATCTGGAGGTGCCACAGGGCCCAGGGACAATCTCAGAGCTCGAGGTAGCACAGGGACCAGGGAAAATCTTAGATCGAGAGGTAGCACAGGGACCAAGGACCATCATAAATCTGGAGATAGCACAGGGACCATCTCAGATCTCGAGGTAACACAGGGACCACAGACCATCATAAATCTAGAGGTAGCACAGGGACCATCTCAGAGCTCGAGGTAGCACAGGGACCATGGACCATCTCAGATCCACCTGACTCTGAGCTTGTTTTGGGCCGATGGGGGACACCAGCGTCTGTGAACTCCTTGAAATCCGAACCAGTTTGAGCCTTGATAGTGATAAATTAAGTTGTTGTGTTGGAGCAGCTCCACGGCACAAGCGTGTTTAATACGGCATCACCGCCAGCAGCCAGGATTACTGCAGGAACCAAATGGAGCCAAATTATCAGTAATTTGCAAAGACTTACTTTTGAGAGTTGTAATAATGAATGAGGAAAAGCCTGTCATTGAGCCCAAATGAGATCCAACACACGGTGCGGCTAACAGCCACTTAGCGCTCACATTTAGCTACATTCATATTCTCCCATAAACACTATCTTGAAATAACAATAATTGATCTGTGTGCAGTAATTGTTCTGGTGGGCAGAAGGGGAGGGGCTCGAGCCTAGACCGTAATTTTCTCATTTGTGAAGCGCGACCATTACCTCCTATTAAAGCTAAACGCACGGCGAGCTGTGAGCGGCGCTAACTTGGACTGAGCGACAAAGGCAAATATGAAAAGGGTTTGATTTTGAGCGAGTGATCGGTGGAAACAGCGGACTACATTTGGGAATAGACTGAAATAACCATTTAAAAAGATCTTCTCATCAAAGCTACATCCTGCTAGCACACACACACAGACGCACACACACACAGACGCACACACACACACTCACAAATCAATAATTCAGCTAAAGAGAAGCACATGCTACGCCCCACTGCACTAATCAATGGGAAGCCAAATGTTATTGTTTCATCTCATTCTGACTCGCACATTTTATACTAGAACAAACTGGACAGCTTCAGACGGCTCTATTAACTGGAGACACAGATTACACCAAAGCAATAAGCCAAGGGCCGCACTAATACGACGCTAACACAATATTAGCATTAGCCATAACTAAACAGGTGGAGAGATACGCATGCTATCGATATGAACTAGCCCAGTACAGATGTGATAACACTGCCCTGGATCTGCTCTGGCCCCAAACCAAACAAAATGTTAAAGAAATTGCGTCTGAAATACATAGCAACGTCCCAGGAGCCGGAGCGGTGGGATAGCCTAAAATATGTTAGCGATATCAAAACATGAATCCTAATGTTATTGCTAAGCACCCATTACACTCATGCAGCCGTACCTTTCCGATGACATATTCTTTACATCGAAACCACTTGTAGTGAGTGATTGCAGATGTTCGATAAATCTCCCGAATGTGAAGAATGTGTCATAAAAAAAAACAGGGCCATGAGAAACAAACACATCCGTCTAATCTCCAGAATTCATGCAACAGACCACAGCCGAGAGGAAGAAAGACGGAAATACACGAGATTTAGTTATGAAAGAAAGTGAAATGAGTTTTTGATGTGTTGGAAATTGTAAAGATTGTATAATGCATGCCTTTGTGTGTGTGTGTGTGTGTCTGTGTGTGTATGGGTGTGTCTGTGTCTCTGTGTGTGTGTGTATGTGTGTCTCTGTGTGTGTGTGTATGTGTCTGTGTCTGTGTGTGTGTGTGTATGTGTCTGTGTGTGTGTGTGTATGTGTCTGTGTGTGTGTGGGTGTGTCTGTGTCTCTGTGTGTGTGTGTATGTGTCTGTGTGTGTGTGGGTGTGTCTGTGTCTCTGTGTGTGTGTGTATGTGTCTGTGTGTGTGTGTCTGTGTCTCTGTGTGTGTGTGTATGTGTGTCTCTGTGTGTGTGGGTGTGTCTGTGTCTCTGTGTGTGTGTGTATGTGTCTGTGTCTGTGTGTGTGTGTGTATGTGTGTCTCTGTGTGTGTGGGTGTGTCTGTGTCTCTGTGTGTGTGTGTGTCTGTGTCTCTGTGTGTGTGTGTATGTGTGTCTCTGTGTGTGTGTGTATGTGTCTGTGTCTGTGTGTGTGTGTGTGTATGTGTCTGTGTGTGTGTGTGTATGTGTCTGTGTGTGTGTGGGTGTGTCTGTGTCTGTGTCTCTGTGTGTGTGTGTATGTGTCTGTGTGTGTGTGGGTGTGTCTGTGTCTCTGTGTGTGTGTGTATGTGTCTGTGTGTGTGTGTGTGTGTCTGTGTCTCTGTGTGTGTGTGTATGTGTGTCTCTGTGTGTGTGGGTGTGTCTGTGTCTCTGTGTGTGTGTGTATGTGTCTGTGTGTGTGTGTGTATGTGTGTCTCTGTGTGTGTGTGTATGTGTGTCTCTGTGTGTGTGGGTGTATGTGTGTCTCTGTGTGTGTGTATGTGTCTGTGTCTCTGTGTGTGTGTGTGTATGTGTGTCTCTGTGTGTGTGTGTATGTGTCTGTGTCTCTGTGTGTGTGTGTGTGTGTCTCTGTGTGTGTGTGTGTGTGTGTTCATCAGACCTTCTTCTAATAACTTCAATGTAAACAAGTCTTTTCTATTTAGGAGAGAGGACCTTCAGCAATATCATTCTTCCTGAAAATGTGAGACAGGCTTCTTCTCTGACACCAGGTTAAAAACAGTTCATTTATATTTATTTGTATCTATTATTAACTCATTGACTGCCATTGTATTTGTCAGACACTGGTTATTTCTGTCAAACTTCCCTCTATTGGACTGGGGATTACTGGAGAACAAAACTAGCTAGAAACCAACTTATTTTTGCTGATAAAAGTAGAAGAATCAATCTTTCAGAATCTGGTTTCATAATTAACACAGTCATAGCACACAATATTCTGTGGGTCTGTAAAGTCAGTGAAATCATCAAAAACGGCAGCAGTCAGTGATTATCTATGACTTTAATGTGACTTTCCATCTTGTTCTGTTTTGCACTTTTTGAGTTGCCTTGTGTATACATTGTGCTATACTAATAATCTTGCCTTGCCTTAAAGCTGGGAGACTTAGTTTCAAGCCACAACAAAATGAGCTTTGTAATAAAATCCAATCTAGTTCTTAGCTCTCAAAATCGTTTGTCTGCATGTTTTTTTGGGGGCTTAACCAATCAGTTCTCAGCCCAAAGCGACTCCCAGGTCTCTTTCTTACAAGAATCCAAAAGATAATTGGCTTTAAGAAAAGATGTACAGTAGGACTTGAACAAACATGTCCTAATGAAAAAGTAAGGTACATTTATTATTGACGGTGGAAGCCATTGCCAAAGGGACCTCTGCAATGGTTCTTGGCCTTTGAACTTGGCAACTGTTATGTGAAATCCGCGATCTACCATGACTCATTGTGCAAATCTAAATATTAAGTATTCCACAAAAGTATAATGACAGCCATGGGTGTGTGAGACTGCCCCGTCCGCCACCTCGCCCTGACCTCCTCGCCCTTTTTACGCTCTCTCATTTCTCCTGCATGGGGCTCGGGGACCGCTGGGCATGTTAACTCACCTTATGAATATGAATGGCTGCTAAATGTAAATCCCGGCCTCCCACGCCCCACAGTTGCTTGACACAAGACCCGATCGGCTTTTCTCAAGGATGCATCAATCGCTGACAGTGGCGAGATAGGATCTGCATTGACCTTGAGAACGGACCGCGGCAAACACACACCGGGCCAAGAATGAGAAAGCAAAGAGCGCAGTGTGAGGGAGGAGAGGTGTGTAGGCTACATCCTGATGAGAGGGACCCCGAGATGAGTAAAGATATGACCGAGGGAGAGGAGAGGAAAGAGGGGGCGGGGTCAGTGATGGAAGGGAGAGAGGCTGAGGGTGGTGGGGGAGCGAGAAGCCATATGGCAGCGGTGCAAATGTATTAAACTATAAATCAGGAGGAGAGAGCTCGCGGACTGCCAGGTGGAGCTCCCTCACAGCTGGGGGGATTTTGCTTCACATGCGGACCCCACCAGGCCCACCAAAGAAATCTGATACGAGGCTGAGATCGCACATAGCATGATCTGATTTAGTCCAGCAGCAGAAAAAGGCATATTCCTCGCTGACTCACTTGGTAGGGTTCATCCCACATTCTGTCAGAGGTCAGAGTGGATTGCTGCTCCATAGTTCATCCATCTCTTTTTATTGCGCCAACGTCAAACAAACAAAATACAGACGAGAAATATTTTAAGTTTAAACGCTGGCTGCACAAATGGTTCAAAGGTAAAATAGTCCAACTCACTTCATTTCTTTTTATTCTCTCTAAATCACAACAGTAGTTTTATTAGAGAACTTAACAAACCTGTTTTATATCAGAGAATCAAACAGTTAAAACACAAACAATATAGAACCAATGTCCATGAATGTTGTATAATGTAGTGCAGGGGTCTCCAACCTGTGGCTCGGGAGCTACCAGTAGCTCGCCAAAGCATTTAGAATCTAACGAATGACCTTGAATGAACACATTATGAGTCGTTACGTGTCTATTATGAGTATATATATCAGGTTATACAGTATTATGCTATATTTTACATGTGTTCTCCATGTTTTGCCGTAATAATTAGATAGATTTTTATTACGACAGCAAGAAGGAGTAGCTCTCAGATTGAAAAAGGTTGGAGACGCCTGATGTAGAGTGTCCTGCGTTTCTTTACAAGACAAACTTACTCTGCTCGTCCGACTGATTCTGGCTTCTATATCAATGCAAACCTCAACATTAAGTCCAGAGAGCAACCCTTTTAAAAAACCGTCACATATTCATCTTAGTTTGACATGAACTGCGCTTGAACCGGCTACGAAAGAGAATAATTCAATTTGCCGAACTCTATTTGTAATTAGGTAATAACATAACATCGATCCATGAGTCATTTAGAACAATACCGCTATTTCTCTGGGATCTCTGGGCAGGACGGCCACCGCGGCTGGGAGGAAGTGCTCAGAACATTCAGGACGGCCACCGCGGCTGGGAGGAAGTGCTCAGAACCTTCAGGACGGCCACCGCGGCTGGGAGGAAGTGCTCAGAACCTTCAGGACGGCCACCGCGGCTGGGAGGAAGTGCTCAGAACATTCAGGACGGCCACCGCGGCTGGGAGGAAGTGCTAAGAACCTTCAGGACGGCCACCGCGGCTGGGAGGAAGTGCTAAGAACCTTCAGGACGGCCACCGCGGCTGGGAGGAAGTGCTAAGAACCTTCAGGACGGCCACCGCGGCTGGGAGGAAGTGCTAAGAACATGGTGCAAACAAACACTTCAGAGTCCCCCCCAAAGGCTTTGACGGTGATCCCTGATGTTTGCGTCGTGTGACCAGTGAGCGAGTTTGGCAGGACGCTGGTCCAGAGGCAGTGATGCAGAGGACACGACCAGCGCCTGCTCTCCGTCAGCGACACAGCACGCTCAATACGGCAGATTTTTAGCATTTATAAACATCTCTGGAGGCTTTAAATGAAGCAAGGAGCAAATTTACAACCATTGTTTTGAAAGAACGTACAAGAACATAGTCACTAATGCACTGGGACTACAATCCTGCACTGCTGTTGCTACTGTTTCTTTAATTGCCACTTTTTATTGTACATAAAATAGCCGGAACAGACTATATTTTTTGCCTCTAACATGTTGCTCACTTCTGTCTTTTGCACAAATCTGAGTGTTTCTGTCTGTACCAAATGTGACATGTGTCTAAACTTAAAAAACAGCTGTAGTTGTGACTCTCAAAAGCAAACATTGAGCTGTGGATTTGGGCGTTTCAATCCATCCAATTTGATCCCAGCTCTTAATAAACCTTGTAGCTCATCAGTAGCATTGACAGCCATGACTTTCGGAGATGGTAAATAGCTCCAGAACAGCTGTTCCAGACAAAAAAGTGACGCAGTGGTGCATCGTCAAGCCGCTTCCAAACACGGTTCAACCTTTGGAAGTTTTAAATGATTAAGAACAAGACGCAGATGGAAATTCTCTCATTCTCCTCGTTTCTCATGTGTTGTAATCTGTCAGTTTCACAATGTACCCTTTGGGAGGAAGTGTTTTCTCAATTATAGAAGAAACTTGGGTGTAATTGATGAATGCTACCACTGTGTATACAACATCACTGTTTTCTTCTAACCTCTATCTATCATCAGTGCCGGAATTATACTTTTGGTCACAACAAGTGCAGGTATATGTTTTTAATTGTAAACAAGAAATCATTGTGAAATACTAAAATATAAAACTAGAAGCAGTCTCTCAAAATGACAGCATTGTCCTTTCTCTTTGGAGTAAAAAATGCAAGGAATATTGGGAGTAAAAAAATTAATGTCAAAGAATTGAAACACAGCCCAGAATCTTACCTCCCGCTAACCTGAAAATCCTGACTCAGTATTTTCTGACATATTTTTGAATGGCAGGTTTCGAGCAGCCAAGCCTCTCTCTGCACAGGATCTGCTGTCAAACCACTGATTCACGGAATTGCCACACATCAACATTTCTCTTTTTACACCTCCAATTCTTACCCGCTCAGCCATTTACAAAACAGCCTCATTTCTAAAACTCTGAACTTCATTTGAAATCTTCTAAGCCTCTGCTCAGTCTTGCCATGTAAGAATCTCATTAGTGGGCTGTGGTGATGGATGGGACTAACTGGACATTTCCCAGTAACGCTCCGATAGGCTGGACCAACAGTGAACTGGAGAGCCTTGATCTCTAATCTTTCACCCTCTACACACACACACACACATTTATAGGCACTGAAACAGACATCCCAGCTATAGCCATCAACCGCCAAGGCTGGCTATCCATCAAACCCCATGTCCACTCAGGGATGAGAGGACAGCGGGAGGGGGCAGAGTGGTGTGGAGTGCCTGCATTAATAGAGCGTAGCGTCGTACCTTGGTCTGGAGATAATGGGGATAGTAGTAGGTGTACTGAGGGTACATTGGCTGCTGTTCCAAACGCTTGCCCATGTAGCTGGAATCCTTAGCACTGAGGCAGGGAATGGTGACACCGGAGCGAGAGCTATGCCAAGACAAGATTGGGTAGTCTGTGTGCGAATATCCCCCTCTTTTTCCTTCTTCTTGAGCTGCTCTTCTGCTGCACCACGATGTGTCACTCAGCCGGCTTCTCTCGCGCAAGCTGTGAGCAAGATCCGGAGTTCAATTAGTCCACAAGTGCGTGCGGGGGTCGGCTCGGCGTCCAGAGAGGGTGCAGAAGCTTGGATGGGTTCAGAGAAGGAGCAGGATAGGAGCAGACGAGGAGCAGGTGGCTGTGAAGGCAGTACTGTTGAGGAAACAAGAGAAGAGGAGGAGCAGGAGGAAGTATAGGGATGGTTAGGGACAGAACGCGAAAGGGGTCGACTTGTTTTGTTGAAGCGTCTCTCTCCGTGTGACTCCGGGCTGTAATGTGCCACGCTCTGAATGCCTCTCTCTCTGCTGCTGCTGCTGGAGTGGGAATCAACTGGGCTGTCCTGTTTGACACCGAGCAAAATATCCCAGTTTGGTAGAAAACGCGGTTAAAATCCCAAATCTTGCGTTAAAGAATGTGTCGAAAAGCGCGGAGAGAGTCGCAGAAGTGGTCCGCTTGAAAAGAATGCGCTCCTTGTGTGACTTACTATAAGCAGCCTGCCTCCTGTCTGTTCTCTCACTCCCCCTCTGTCACACACTTCCCTCTTCTCCGTGCTGGTCTCCTCCACACTGACAGAGCAGTATTATGGGGGCTCGTCCGGCAGGCAGCTCAGAGCGGGGGAAAACGGCACACACACTGTCTCCTCCTTCCTTATCCCCCTCCCGCGGCCCGGCAGTGAGGAGGTAGGAGGGTCCTGAAGCGATCCAGACACAGACCAGCGGGCTGCAGCGTTTCCACAACCTGCACGTGGGAACAACACAGAGCAGCACCAGAGCGAGCCGTCGATTCCCCCTGCTGGACACGAGGGGTAGTGCGGGCGACACATGCACAAACACACACAGGATAAATGCAGTGATTTAAGTGTGCTGTAGATCACTATAAATGTACACTTAGTGGGAGCCGAGGACCGCGGGCTTCGAAACTGCAATAATCAAACTCACTTTAGGATTTATTCAGCTATAAAGTCAACTGGGGACTGTTTGCCTCGATACACAGCCACACAGGCTAATGCTGTTTACTTTGAGGGAACAGAGCAGAATTGGGAGAGAAATGTGTCGACTGGAACTGTAATGCTGAGTGAAGCGAGCTCGAAGCCTGGTTCAGCGACATCTGCAAATGTGCTTTTAAAAATATTAATATCTTTGTAACGGTTGCTTTTATTCAATGAGAGAGAGATTCTGATAAAACAGCAGCGACCCTAACCCTAACCCGGCAGAGTCTGTTTTTAAGGTTTAAGGAAGAGGATGTTTACCTTATCAGAGCCTCACAGAATCTGCTTTGGCTTTTCACTACAGATTCTATTTATTCTGAGACAAAATACATCATTCAGAAGTCTAGAAAGAGGTTGGAAATGGAACGCAAGCAGGTGTGTGTCTGTACAGTATACAGTATGTGCATATAATGCCGAAACTAAAAATGATATAAATATGTATAATTGAGTGGAGCTGAAGTCACTCAACAATTTTGATTATTTCTTATATACATCTGTAGATAGATACTGTATGTGTTATTAGGTACTTTATTATTTATATAGTTTGTAATTGATTTCTCATTTAGATGTGTGTGTGTGTGTGCAGGGGTGTGTGCAGGGGTGTGCGTGTGTGTGCGTGCAGGTGTGTGTGTGTGTGTGTGTGTGTGTGTGCAGGGGTGTGTGTGTGTGTGTGTGCAGGGGTGTGTGTGTGTGCAGTGGTGTGTGTTTGTGTGCGTGCAGGGGTGTGCATGTGTGTGTGTGCAGGGGTGTGTGTGTGTGTGTGTGTGTGCAGGGGTGTGTGTGTGTGTGTGTGCAGGGGTGTGCGTGTGTGTGTGTGCAGGGGTGTGTGTGTGCAGGGGTGTGTGTGTGTGTGTGTGCAGGGGTGTGTGTGTGTGTGCAGGGGTGTGCAGGGGTGTGTGTGTGTGTGTGTGCAGGGGTGTGCGTGTGTGTGTGTGCAGGGGTGTGTGTGTGTGTGTGTGTGTGCGTGCGTGCGTGCGTGCGTGCGTGCGTGTGTGTGTGTGTGTGTGTGTGTGTGTGTGTGTGTGTGTGTGCGTGTGTGTGGAAGAGGATGTGTATATATAAAAATACGTCAGAGCATGTAATGATAGAATAGCCACTGCATCTCAGCGGCCAATGGGGATCTTACTAAACTAAACTAACTACCAACAACACACATGCAGTATATTGTATAAAAACAATATAAATTATATATATATAAATAACTTAGAACACTAGACAGAGTTTTAAGTCTTCAGCCCCTCGTGAGTCGACTGGTCTGGTTTTAAACGTACTTTGTTTTCTGCCCTCATTTGACTGAACTGGTTTTCTAGTTTAAAAAGTAGTAAAGTCAGGTTGAGCATTTTATTTTAATTTCTACTATTCTGCTCGTTTGATTCTATTGTTTATCCCTGTGCAGCCCTTTGAAAACTCAAACTAAATAATGTGAATGTAAATCAAATGGCTCTGTAGTGGAGCAATCACAGATCTATTGTTTCGTAACTTGATCGATGAAATATTCACATCAAAGTCATTTTTATAACTAATAAAACTGCCAGAAGAAACCAAATCAATAGCAGCACAACACAACGTCCTGTTGACACACAAATATCACATACATGCTACTTTTATCCGGGCGAGAGATGGAACAAAATCGATTGAGGTTTCAGCAGATTAACAGTGTGTAGATCACGGCAGCACCTCAGCCTCAGTGGGAGAAAGAACAGAACAACCCCAGAGAGGACGCCACAGATACAGAGGAAATGAGATAAGAGCGGCCGATGGAGCCGAGCGATCCATACGTCTTCATCCACAATTGTGCCAACTGCACCGAGATGTTATAGATAAGACTTATCACTTTCACCCAAAAGGTCACATCCAGGAAAACAAACTAAAAAGGATAGTTCTCATACCATATGTGACAGTTGGAAGTCACGGTGATAAAACATACCAGCAAGTTGTTTTGGTCAGTAACTAGTCTAATTAGTCACTTAGCCACCTCCTTACTAGCTTAGCCATATCCATGATCATCTCCTACATGTACGTCTGGTCTTACCATGTGTAAACTCTGGTCCATGATCATCTCCTACATGTACGTCTGGTCTTACCATGTGTAAACTCTGGTCCATGATCATTTCCTACATGTACGTCTGGTCTTACCATGTGTAAACTCTGGTCCATGATCATCTCCTACATGTACGTCTGGTCTTACCATGTGTAAACTCTGGTCCATGGTCATTTCCTACATGTACGTCTGGTCTTACCATGTGTAAACTCTGGTCCATGATCATTTCCTACATGTACGTCTGGTCTTACCATGTGTAAACTCTGGTCCATGATCATCTCCTACATGTACGTCTGGTCTTACCATGTGTAAACTCTGGTCCATGATCATCTCCTACATGTACGTCTGGTCTTACCATGTGTAAACTCTGGTCCATGGTCATTTCCTACATGTACGTCTGGTCTTACCATGTGTAAACTCTGGTCCATGATCATCTCCTACATGTACGTCTGGTCTTACCATGTGTAAACTCTGGTCCATGGTCATCTCCTACATGTACGTCTGGTCTTACCATGTGTAAACTCTGGTCCATGATCATTTCCTACATGTACGTCTGGTCTTACCATGTGTAAACTCTGGTCCATGATCATCTCCTACATGTACGTCTGGTCTTACCATGTGTAAACTCTGGTCCATGGTCATCTCCTACATGTACGTCTGGTCTTACCATGTGTAAACTCTGGTCCATGATCATCTCCTACATGTACGTCTGGTCTTACCATGTGTAAACTCTGGTCCATGATCATCTCCTACATGTACGTCTGGTCTTACCATGTGTAAACTCTGGTCCATGATCATTTCCTACATGTACGTCTGGTATTACCATGTGTAAACTCTGGTCCATGGTCATCTCCTACATGTACGTCTGGTCTTACCATGTGTAAACTCTGGTCCATGATCATCTCCTACATGTACGTCTGGTCTTACCATGTGTAAACTCTGGTCCATGATCATTTCCTACATGTACGTCTGGTCTTACCATGTGTAAACTCTGGTCCATGGTCATTTCCTACATGTACGTCTGGTCTTACCATGTGTAAACTCTGGTCCATGATCATTTCCTACATGTACGTCTGGTCTTACCATGTGTAAACTCTGGTCCATGATCATTTCCTACATGTACGTCTGGTCTTACCATGTGTAAACTCTGGTCCATGATCATCTCCTACATGTACGTCTGGTCTTACCATGTGTAAACTCTGGTCCATGATCATCTCCTACATGTACGTCTGGTCTTACCATGTGTAAACTCTGGTCCATGGTCATTTCCTACATGTACGTCTGGTCTTACCATGTGTAAACTCTGGTCCATGATCATCTCCTACATGTACGTCTGGTCTTACCATGTGTAAACTCTGGTCCATGGTCATCTCCTACATGTACGTCTGGTCTTACCATGTGTAAACTCTGGTCCATGATCATTTCCTACATGTACGTCTGGTCTTACCATGTGTAAACTCTGGTCCATGATCATTTCCTACATGTACGTCTGGTCTTACCATGTGTAAACTCTGGTCCATGATCATCTCCTACATGTACGTCTGGTCTTACCATGTGTAAACTCTGGTCCATGATCATTTCCTACATGTACGTCTGGTATTACCATGTGTAAACTCTGGTCCATGGTCATCTCCTACATGTACGTCTGGTCTTACCATGTGTAAACTCTGGTCCATGATCATCTCCTACATGTACGTCTGGTCTTACCATGTGTAAACTCTGGTCCATGATCATTTCCTACATGTACGTCTGGTCTTACCATGTGTAAACTCTGGTCCATGGTCATTTCCTACATGTACGTCTGGTCTTACCATGTGTAAACTCTGGTCCATGATCATTTCCTACATGTACGTCTGGTCTTACCATGTGTAAACTCTGGTCCATGATCATTTCCTACATGTACGTCTGGTCTTACCATGTGTAAACTCTGGTCCATGGTCATTTCCTACATGTACGTCTGGGTCTGATCCTAGTGGCTGCAGTTTCCTCGGTTGAATTCCCTCCGACCAATCAGAGAGCGGGGGAGGCGGGTGTTGTAGGTCGGTGTCTGTGACGTCAAGAGTTTGCTCTGAGTTTGCTGGTTGTAGTTTGTCGGAGAATGCGATAGTCCTCTCTCTGGAGCTGTTTTTGTCTCATATTTTGAGATAAAAAGTATTTACCGTTTGTATTTAGCTCTATCTGCTGTTTATGTGAACAGAGCTGACACAGGGAAATGCAGGTGAACACACGGAACTAGGACTTATTATTTTGTTTCCATCAAGCTTTGATAGCTGTAGGACGCACAATAGTTGTCAAACTAGATCCTGACATGGAAGCTAACAGAAGCTAACAGAAGCTAAGCGGTCATTGTGTTATTTACCAACATTAAATCACAGTTAAAGCAGTCGTCCATTGGATTTGTATATTATTGAGTAACTAAATAGTCATGTAAGTAATAAGTAACTAAGTACTTTTGTGAATGAATCTTGCCGTGACAACAAAACAGCCTGTTTCTTTGTGTGTTTGCGTCTCTTCTGTCCCAAAGCTCTGTCACTGAAGTATTGACACGGTCTACATTTTACAAGTTGGATTTTAAGACTTACATTTATTGGAAGAGCAGTTTTCCGGCTGCAGACGCTTTGTCTCGCTGCCAGTTTAATGCTTTCTTTTATTATTAGTCTGAAATAATATCTTGCTTGTTCTCCCATTTCATTTTACTGTGCCAGCCTTTTTAATACCTATTTACCATTACGCTGGAGTTTTTCAAGATGCAGTTTTTATTGATGAGAAAAGTTGTGGAATACGGCTTTGCATC